CACCGCAGGATGGCAGAGGCTGGGCGTGCTGGGCAAGGAAAGGGGCATTGTGTCACTCTCACTCTAGCTGATGTTCAGAACAGCACTTGTAGACTTTGGTGGCGGGGCAGGGCGGGGGTGGCATCATCAGGACAGGACGCCTTTGGGCAGGATGGGAGGAAGCAGGCAAGGGAGTCCTGGCATTCCCCCGCCAAAGAGGACTGGTCTGGTTTATGGAGTGTGTTGAAATGCCCCCTCCAGCTCCCAACTCATGGACAATTTGGCCTTATTAAAAATACCCAGAAAGGGAGAGATTTTCCAAAGCACTGAAGGGACTTAGGCCCCCAGTGACTGTCACCCAACTCTCTCAGGCATGTTGGAAATCCCCCCTCCACCCAAAGAGAATTCGAACTGACAATGTCAACAAACATTACTCCCAATGCCCAGCCCAGCAGCGGGCAGAAAGGCCTCCAGGTTTCACAGCCTGAGTAAACTCTTGCAGCTTTTACTGCCCCTGTGATAGCTGAAGCCACAAACAATGTTTTTAAAGGTAACTTGCAAATGGGGCTGTGATGCTGGCAGATCAGGGGCTAGCTCACGCCAGGGCCCCTGTCTCATCCGAACACAGACAAATACCTAGCTGGAGCCAGTCTGGCTTGCCTGTGTGTTAGGATTCTTAAAGCAGGTATTTAATGATAGGAATGTGTTTAGGGTTTAGACTTTATTGAATGCTTGTGAGTGGCTGCCGGCATTAATCTCACTTATAGCATTCGTACCCCATATAGTAAGGTAATATTTGAGCATTTTTGTGGTGAGCTTCTGTGACTGTGTAAATCACCAGACAGGAGAGAGACATTAACTAGTATGAAATGCTGGTTTCTAACAGAAAGTCCTGCGCAACAGGGGAAGGTCCATCGACACCAGATGGACTATTGTGGGATATTAAAGAGGGTAACATACTTTGTTGTTCTGTAATTCCCCCCATGAAGATGAGTCTTGCAAGTGGACTTCTCCCATCAGTTTGCAGCTCAGAGCACATGGGAGGAGGGGAATAAAAGCCGCTAACAAGAAGGAACTGATCTTCTCTATGCTGCTTGGACTCTGGGGAGACAGTTTGTAGGCACAAGCAAGAGGTCTGCAGTGCTTAGCCTGGATTAGCCCTAAAGGTCATATAGAGCTTGCTTGTTTATAGAAGTTTTTCTTATCTTTTGAAACTTAACGTTTAACCTTGTAAATAACTCTCTTGTTTCCTTTTCCTATTAATAAATCTGTGTATAGTTTATCATAGGATTGGCTACAAGTGTTGTCATTGGTGTGAGATCTGCACTTGATAACTGGTTGATGAAATCGAAGTATAAAACTTTCAGGGTTTGTGCCCTGGTTCTTAACAGTCTGCCGTGATGCTGATACTCACACTCTTGAGTCACTGTAGGCAGCTTGACGGGGCTATTGGTTTCGTGCCATTATTTTATTTTGATGATGGATTAGAAGGCCTAAGGAGGCCTTTGTTTTCAAAACCTCACTTGTTTTTATATCAGGTCTTCCCTGTGTTTTCTGGTGGTCCCCTTGGAGGAGGAGAAAACTAGAATGGGGGCTTTTCTTAGTTGAAATAGAGTGTTGCTCTTTAACTCAGTGAGCTTTTCTCCCAACAGTTTGTAGTGCATACGAATTAAATGAGTTTTAAAAAACAAACAAAAATTAGAGCATTTGAAATACTCGTGGGGGGATTTTTCTGCACTAAAAAATTAAAAATTCTGTGCACAATATTTAAACATTCTGCATATTTTATTTGTCAAAATAGTGCAATATAATCACGCTGGTTTCAATTATTTTGGTAATTTATTTAAACTATAATACAATGGATGGAGAATGGGAGTGGGGAGTATTGGAGGAAATCCCCAACCCCCCTCTTTCTAAGAGTAATGTCGCTAGGTTTTACTCTTTATTTCTAGTTATTTGTCAACAAATATATGCAGCCGTATGCTCAGTGTTGCATCATAGGCAACTGAAGAGCAAGTGAAGGCTGGAGAATCAAACTCACAATTTATATTGGCTACTGAGCATCTCCAGAAAGGTCAGTAGCAAACAGTTCATGGAGCACATTGTGACAGGAAAATGTTTTAGTCCAAACATTTAGATCAGTTCTAATCACTGAAGCACCATAAGCATTTATAGCCATACTGTCCTTTACAGCACTTTGGCAATGTAAAGAGCCTTACAACTTTAACATCTGTTTTATACTCCTGGGGGAATTCACTAAGTACAATGGGAACAATTCACTAAGCAGGCAGGCTGCTACATTCTGCTCTGCCTGAGGGGACAGAGCCTGCCGCACGCCTGCCTCCTCAGAAATACCCCGAAGCCCTGCCCCTCCACACTGAGTGTGCCGCAATAGCGAGCAAGCGGGACAGAGTGTCTCTCTGTCTCACATGCATGACTGTTGAGCCCCCACCTTCAGCGGTAATTTACTTCTCTGCCAGCTGCTCTGGTCGCCCGAACCGAGTGTCCGTGCTGCCGGGGAGGGGCGCGTGACCGCTCTTATGGCTTCCCCTTGCTTCCCCATCAGAAGTCATTTTTCTGTGGGGAAGCAAAGAAATCTGTGGGGAACATGAATTCTGCATGCGTGCAGTGGTACAGAATTCCCCCCGGAGTATTTAAACAATCTGACTAAAAAGCATTTCCCCTCCCAGCTGCATACTGTCTGTGACGTCACAAACCTGCAAGTTCCCAAATTGCCCACAGAGCCTTCCAGTAAAACAGAATAGCTAAGACCTCACCTTTCTGATAGAAAAACCCATTAGGCAAAAAACACAGTCAGGCTTTTTTTATGCCTCATAAGGAATTTAAAAGGCCCATGACCAGCATTTTATTACTTGCAGGTCACTCTTAAAATCCTGTTTTGCAGAATTAACCACAGCGTGAAATCATCCAGCTGCAGGTCCTTCTAGGCCATATGTGAAGGGAGATCTGCCAGGCTCCAAGCAGACCCCACGTAGCTGCTTAGCATGTAACTTTTGGGGCGAGAGGGTGGCAGTTCAGAGGCCGGAAGATGTTTCCCATTGGGGGTGTGCAGCAGGGTTTCACCAGCTCCTGGGGTGGGAGCTGACCCAGGGAACAAGCCAAGGGAGAGCAGAGCAGTTTGTTCCCATGCACATATTACAAAGTATGTGTGGTGGGATCACAGCAGATGGGAGAGGCTGAAATATGTGCTGGGATGGGGGTGCAGGCTCACTGGTGCCTGGGGGTGCGCCAGGCAGATGCCCATGAAGCTCCCTTGCTTAGGACAAGTTCCATCATTTCTTTTCCGCAGCACATGCTGTTCCTGGTGGCTCTTCCCCATGTGACCCAGGGACCTCTTGGTGCCCACTGGAGGAGGAACAGGGGTGCGTAAGGGTTACAACAATCCCCTGGGTCTGGTCTCTACATCATAACTTGTCAAGGGCATCATGTGAGGTCTCTGTTGTCAAACCGGTCACCATAGCCAGTGTGAGCGGAACGTATGGTAATACGTAAGGAGTTATGTATCTGCGCTCTCAAGGGCTGTGAGTTGGAGGTGGTCACCAGAAGGTGATAAATAAGTTTCTTTCAGGCAGAAAACACTTAACTGTCGGTCTGGCTATATGTTAAATTGAGTATTGTATACTTCACCATGGACGCCTATTTACAGTCTGAGCAAAATGCTAATCATGTGAGCAAAATGCTAATGAAGAGATTGCAGAGCCTCACCTCCAGGGGAGGTTCTCTCTAGGAAAACACAAGCAGCAGGGGGTGCAAGTGAAAACAATAAGGATAGGAAGTTGGAACTATGTCTGGAGTGCAGAAGTACACCTTCACCCAGGGGACAAGCTGCCAGCTGGTTGTCTGATGAATGGAGGCTCGCAGCCGGTCTGGTTGTTTAATGCTGGGTGAGGTGCTCTGGGGGAGCTAAGCTTTCCGAGACAGGAGAATGGCTTGTTAGTTAAGTTCAGGCTCTAGAAAGCTCTTGTGATTTTAGTTTATATGTAACCATTTATTTCCATTAATTCTACTTGCTACTTCTCTGTCCTGTGTTCTGTGACCGTGTGCGTGTTTTCACTGAAATGTCCCTAGGTGCTGTGAGTTGAGGGGGGCAGGATCCTGAGGAAGCTGGGGGCACTGTCCCTTTGGGACCAGCAGATCTGTGAATTCTGTATCTCCAGCGGAGCAGGGGCCGGGCACTCCAGGGCCATGCTTGGAGGGTGGTGTGTGCCTGCCCAGGGACAGCAGGGCCTGCGTGGGCTGAGAGGCCGGGCTTGTGTTGCCCGTGGCTGGTGTAGTCAGGAGCTGACCCCAGGCAGGCACAGACAAGGCTCCGCCATGCTAAGGGTGGGTGGCAGCAAGGTGCCTCACAATCCTGGGTACTTCCAGGAAGCATCACGCCCCATCTCTCGTGCAGACTTTGCCTGATCACAGATGCAGCGTACTGTGCGCATGGACCTGCTGCCCCTGCCCCTAAGCCAAGCTGCTGCAAACGGGAGGAGACGTTTCTGTGCCACCCAGGCCCCTTGTGCAGGTCTGATGGTTCCCACTTCCCCCTAGATTAGCCCTAGCCCTGCACAGCCTAGGCTTGGCTGCTTTCGTTGTGCAGGCTCTGGAGTCTCGTGCTGTTTGCACACAGCAAAGAGCAATTTCCATCCTCTGAATTAGCTCAATAGCCGCATTTCCATTGTGGTGTCACGTGATGCAGTATTGCCGACATTCTGACCAGCTCTCACCACACCGCTCCCACTTCTTGGGAACAAAAACCCCAGTGCTCCACGTTACAGCCAGCCTTTCAAGCTACTTGACAGTGTGCCACTTCCGAACTGATTTTACCCTTTGTTTTGCTCTCTCCTGGCTCCTTAGTGCCTGAAGTGATGGGCACTTACTCAGAGCGAGCTCTCCACTTGCACTTACATTCATCCGAGCTGGGGTTTGGGAAGCTTGTACTTTGCAGAGAAAGCCAGGGCCCTGTGACACACTGCTAATGACCTCGCTCTCTGCCTGTGTTTCCTTTACGTCAGAAGTCGGAGTGCTCATTACGTTTGGAGGCTCACTCCCAGGAGCAGAAGAAGAGGATCTGCTGGTGTCTGGCTGAGAACATCACTAAGCAGCAGCATCCAGCAGCAGCTCCTGCTGAGAGCAAGGTAAGGCGCTGGCGGGCTGGCCAGCTGGGCAGACAGGGCACCCTCCGCCTGGCACCACAGGGCTGGGGCTTCCCTGGCACAGGGCTTTGCTCAGCCCACACTCCTGCCAGGACCCACGCTCTCCAAAACCAACTTGAGCCAGGGCAGCTGCCAGCTCACACCAAGGGGCTGCTGGGGCTGCAGCTTCCGAGGCTGCTCTGGAGAGCATGTCTCTGGATTTACAGCCAAGCTGAGCCAGACTTTGGCAAACCGGCCCCTTTCCCTGCTCCCTGGGTATCGATTTGGAGAGCGGAGGCTGCACAGCTCCAGCACACGGACTTTCCCCAGAGATAATGCCTGGCTGCAGGGCAGGGATGATCACAGGGGGAAGCAGAGCCTGGCAATGCACACAAGGTTCAGGCTGTGAACTCTGGGCCCTATTGAAAGGCCAGAACCACGGGGGCCCTGCATAGCGGCACTGCTGGGACCCGGCCGCTTTCCCCAGCAGGGTGGCCTCAGGCTGGCCCAGCGGCCTGGTGTCATGGCATGGAGAGGCCCTGTTTATTCTACACATTGAGGTGGCAACACCAGCTCTCCTGCATTAAAGAGATTCAGTCGGCTTGTGAGCCGGGAAGCCTGGAGTGCTCTGTGCAGAGAAGGAGCAGAGTGTGGGAAGCCTCCCAAACCTGGGCTGCTAACGTGTCCAGTACCTGCCCTGGCGAGAGACCCCAGGTCTCCTTGGGCACTGCTGAACCTGCCAGCAAGGGGCCTGCTAGTGCCAGGGGCTTTCCATGCTGGGGCCCCGGCTTCCCTGGCTCACTCCCGTTTCAGTGGGAGCAGAGAGGGGTTGTCTGGTATTTCTACCGTCAGGGGCTCACAGCCATTCTCAGCCCTGCTGAGGGCTGGAGCAGCTGGCCACAGCGGCAGTGCTCGTACAGAGGGGCTCAGTCTAAACCCCTAGAGATGCCGTGGTGGGGGGAATACCTGGGTCCTGTCTAAACAAGTACGTCCCCGTGGCTCTGCTGGTGGAGCTACACCGCTCCTAGAGCAGCGCTGGGAGAACGGTTAAAGCTTTGCTCAGACACTGCCTGGCCGGCTCATGTTCGGCCTTGCTTGCCGCGCAGTCTGAGGCTCTCATTTGTGCTGCGTTTGCAGACGCAAGGCGGGTGCTGAGGGACAGAAGGTCTCAGCCGCCTGCCTGACTCATGTGCAGAGAGAACGTGGCATTTACTTTGCAGCGTCCCAAACTGGGTCAGCACAAACTGACTCTGCAGGAGACAGGGCTTCTAGACGCCGTCTCCCTCGGATTTCAAAGGAGCTGGAATAGCTTTGTGAGGCAACAACAAACAAGTCTGAGACCCCCGATTAGTAACTAAACCCCCAGGAAATGTAAATAACCTGGGGTCAGGTAATGCCCTCCCCCTCCTCCTCCGTCGGGTCACAAGGCTCCGTATCCAGCCAGCCCGCGGGGACTTGGCTGACTCCTACTCGGAACGAGACATGTTGTGTGTTTGTGGTATTGCAGTGTAGGCTATTGCCAGGACAATGTATGAACCTGAGCAGTCCAGCTGAGGTCTCAGCAGGGAGGAGTGGTGCAGCTCCACTTCCTGATGTGCCAACGGGTTTGTGGGTGATTCGGGAGGCTCGGCCCGTTTTCATCCTTTTCCTCCTTCCATCTTCAAACGCCGGGTCCATGGCTGGGGCAGGTGAGCTATGGGGCATCCCCTGATCCCGCACATTCCCTTCCAGCACTGTAGACCTCAGCACAATGATAGGGTGTGCCTGGGTAACCAGTGTTCCTAGGGAAGACTTTAGATCCTAGCTGTGCATAGTCTGGTGTTTGCATGCTTCCCAGGTGTCATTCCTCAGACCAGGGGAAGAGTGAGGCTGAGTCTGTGCAGAAAGGACTGGAGCAGGCGCCGTTCCTGGAAGTGGGGTAGAGGAAATGATCTGAGAGACTATATGCCAACAGGAACCCTGGCAGGGCTCTTCCACTGAAGTGCCAGTGGGTTGCGTGATCTCCCCTCTGAGTCCTTTGCTCTGGCACTGAGGGCTTTGGCTGTGCAGAGTGATACACACAGCGAGGGGCTGTGCAAAAACTCACCTGACAGCACTCACACGCCCTGATTTTAGCCAAGGTGTAAGGCTTTGCTGTGGTTTGTGGTTTATGTGCTGAATCAGCAGGATCTTGTCAACAGTTCTAGAGCCAGTGTTCAAATCATTTCCATCGAAAAGCTCTGCCCAGTTTGGCTTGGCTCTAAGATTCACCAGGGGATCCTCTCGAGTCAGCGTTTGCAGTGAGTCCAAGTGCTGTTTTCATCAGGGGAGTGATGGTGGCGGCCTTGGTGCCCTGAGAATGAACCGATCTCAGAAAGGAGGCTCTTCACTGAGTCCAACCTCAGAGGAAGCTGCAAGGCCTCGGGTCTCTGTCCCGCACCTGGCAGGGCTGGCGCTGGGGAGCTGGTGCTCGGACTATGGACTGGCCTCTCGCCATCTCCCATGGCTTCGGAATGGTGGACTGAATGCCAAGTGAATTCCTCACCGAGCCCATTGGAATATGCACATGCAGTCCTGGGGTCAGTGGGGATTGTCGCTGCCACAGTGCTGTGCATTGTTCCCACTGGCTCTGAGGAGGCTGGGACATGATGAGAACATTGCAGCTGAAGACACTATTGGTGCTATTTTATGAAATGAACCGAGGCACAGAAAGGGCAAGTGGCTTGTCCCGTGGCACCCAGGGAATTGGTTCAGAGACAGAGCTAGAGCCCACAGGCTGCCTTCTCTGCTGGGAGGACACCCTGGGCACGGGCAAGGCAGGAGGAGGTGACGCCACTGAGCTCTGATTCTGGGACCAGCCCGAGCACAAATGAGAGTAGCCTGGGGCTCTTCTAGTCTCCTCTTGACTGGCTCTAGCCATGGGGCCAGGGTGCTAGCCCAGAGTAACATCCTCCTCAGTTACTGTTGGAATGGAAAGTGTTTTATACTTATCAGTGGCGTAGCCAGGGTTGCTGCCGAGGAGGAGCGGCGGAGAAAAAAGGCGCATGTCCTTCGGCGGCATTTCGGTGGCCCTGCACATGCGCCAAAATGCCGCCAAAAGACGGAGCGGCGCATGTGCAGGGCCGCTGAAAGACAGAGCGGCGCTGGAAAAGGTGCCACTTAGGGAATTCTGGGCTCGGGGGAGCAGGCGCTCCCCCTGCTCCCCCCTAGCTACACTACTGATACTTATGTAGTCATGCGATATGAGTACATCATGTGGTTTTCCCCCCCAAATGCAGAACAGAAATAGTTATTGAACACTTCTGCCTCTTCTGCATTTTTTATTGACAATTCTACCATTTCCATCTAGTAATGGACCAGTACTGTTATTAGGATTCTTTCTGATCCTAGTATGCTTAAATAATTCCTTCTTATTGTTCTTAACTCTGCTGGCCATAGAGTTATTATTGTGTCCTTTTGCTTCCCTTATCAGTTTTCTACAGTTCTAGCATCTGATTTATATTCATTGCTATCAATTTCCCCTTCTTCCATTTGTTATCTATTTATTATTATTATTATTATTATTATTTATTTATAGTTGCCTTCACTTCCCCTCTAAGCCAGGTTCTTTCTCAGTTGTGGCTTTTGGGGCATCTAGTAAAGTGTTCTTAAGTGAGTCCCAATTATCATTCACATTTTTCTGTTTAAATTCATCCTCCCAGCTGATTTGGCTTTTAATTGTTTTCAGCTTTGTGAAAAACTGACCCTATATTATACTTGGTGCTTTCAAAGGGGAAAGACAATAACAGAAAATGTGGAAGTGGCAGAAGTACTAAATGACTTTTTTTGTTTCAGTTTTCACCAAAAAGGTTAATAGAGATTGGACATCTAACAGTGAACACCAGTAAAAATGAGGTAGGATCTGAGGCTAAAATAGGGAAAGAGCAAGTTAAAAAAATAGATAAGTTAGATGTCTTCAAATCAGCAAGGCCTGATAAATGCATCCTAGAATACTCAAGGAGCTGACTGAGGAGATATATGAGCCATTAGCAATTATCTTCAGAAACTCATGGACAACAGGAGAGATTCCAGAGGACTGGAAGAGGGCAAATATAATGCTAATCTATGAAAAGGTGAATAAGGACAACCCAGGGAATTACAGACTAGTCAGCTAAATTTCAGTGCCCAGAAAGATAAGGGAGGAAATTATCAAGCAATCAATTTGCAAGCACCTAGAAGGTAATAAGCATGGATTTGTCAAGAACATATCATGTCAAAGCAACCTAACTACTTACTTTGACAGGGTAACAATAACAAGTCTTGTGGATGGGGGGGGGAAGCAGTAGATGTGACATATATTGCCTTTAGTAAGGCTTTTGATACTGTCTCGCATGACCTTCTCATAAACAAACTAGGGAAATACAACCCAGATGGAACTACTATAAGGTGGGTGCATAACTGGTTGGAAAACGGTTCCCAGAGAGTAATCATCAGTGGTTCACAGTAAAGCTGGAAGGGTTTGGACTGTATTGTGTTTGCAGATAACAAATGTGATCAAATCAAGATAAGCAATTGCTAACTTTTAGGTCCATCAAAACAAGGTTGCCAGCAGCAGCACAGAAGTAAGAATAACAGTACCACAACCCCCCTCCCATCCTAGGATAACCTTGCAACCCCCGCCCCCAATCCTTTTTGGGTCAGGACTCCTACAATTACAACACCTTGAAATTTCAGATTTAAATAGCTGAACTCATGAAATTTACAATATTTAAAATATTTAAAATTTACAATATTTAAAATCACAGTCATATTGCAATCATATGACTGTGAAATTGACCAAAATGGACTGTGAATTTGGTACGGCCCTACTCATGCCCAGCGGCAGCAGATTGTGGCTGCTCAGCTAGCACCACAGTGTCCCTTAGAGGACCAGGAGAATCAACTGCAGCCCAAACCCTCCTGCTCGTCCAGGGCCCAGCTCAGTGTGTGCCCTTGGGGGCATGAAGGGGGGCTGCGGGTTGTGACGGGACAGGCCCCAATCCCAC